GTGCCGTCGAGTCAGCCCCGACTCATAGCGACCCCTCCTTGGGTTTCCGAGGCAGTATCACTACGGAAGTAGGATTGCCCAACCTTCCTTCCAAGGATTGGCTGGTGGGTTTGAACCACCAGCCGTCTGGTTAGCAGGCAAGTGTCTTAGTCACTATGCTACCAGAGCTCCCAAGTGGAAGGATAGGAACATGAAAAGCTCATATATGTTAACAGGAAGCAAGACAGAGGATACAAGTACAGACACTAAAAGGTAGGAAGATACGGTGATGGGAGTCATTGAAGTGTTTTTTCTAATAAGTAAATTAGAATAGCATGTAAATTAAATAGCATGTTGTCACCTGAGAACAAAGATGATTAAGGTCTTGATGGTGTGAAATAGTCATCTAGGAGCATAGCTGAGAGAATGGATTAAGCCCACTACCATCAAGTCGATTCCAACACATAGCAACACTATAGAACAGAGTACAATTGCCCATAGGGTTTCCAGGGCCATAATTCTTTATGGAAACAGATTACCTCCTCTTTCTCCTGCAGAGGGGCTGGTGGGTTTCAACAACTGACCTTTTGGTTAGTAGCCAAATGTTTTAACCATTGTGCCATCAGAGCTCCTGTGAATGAACCAGGGGCATATAAAACAACTTTCTGGAACCATAAGGGCCATCTTGAGGCTTTGGAAAGTTAATCTTAAGAATCATTAATAGAGCAATACTGGATTAGAATAGGCAAGACCAGGAGGATAGGAAAAAGACCAGTTTGGAGACTGTTTTAGTAGTCTACATGAAACAACTAGAGAAGAACATTGTGTGTTGGCTAGAATTTCTTTGAAAATTTTTTACTTATGTTCATAAAGGATACAGGTCTGTAATTTTACTTTTTCCGTGTGCTATCCTTGCCTAGTTTAGGTATCAGGGTTACACTGGCTTCATAGAAATAATTCAGTAGTGTTTTTTTTTTACCTCTTCTTGTTCTGGAATTTCAGTGAGTTTTATGTGGTTTCTTCTCATGTCATCCCATGTAATTCTTAGGTTTTCTTAATTTCTCTTAAATCTTTGTTCTGAGTATTCTTCATACAGGCTGGTGTCCAGGGATTTTTCTTCTACTTGGGAAATGCATTCTTCAGCCAGTTCTAACCTACTCTTTTGTACTTCTGCTGTGTTGTATAATTCTGTAATTTTTGTATTCATCTTGTGGATTTCGAACTGCTGTTTTTGTATGAGTTCTGAATGTGCATTAATCTTATTATTTTGTTCCTGAATGATTTTCCTGCGTTCTTCCAGGGAATTCTCTGTGTTCTCCTAGTTTCTGTTTGGGGATTCCTTAGGCTATTGTAAAGTTCTATAAACATATCTTCTAATTCCTTCTCAGATAATTCTATTGCCTCCTCTTCCTCCATGTATAATGAGACCTTTGTTTGTGCTTTTCCTTCTAATGCCTTGTCATGTTTTTTGTTTGATTAGAGGTTGCCTGCTGTTTCCTAGACATTTCGAGGTTGTCTTTAACTGGTAGTTATGTACTGATTTGTTTTGTCTTGGTTTTATGGTTTATTATCTTGAAAAGATGAAGCTGGTGTGTTTTTATTAGTTTATTAATTCAGGTATGCTGGGTTGCTCTGCAGTTTTCTTTGTGATGGTGGAATCACTGTGTGGAATGTGGATATGCATTTCTGTTTGTCGTAAAGAGGGTTTAGAGTTTGAACCGGGAGGTTTTATGGTGGCTCAATGTGGTTTCTTCTATTAGATGAGTGCAGTTATTTGTGGAGAAGGTGGGAGCAGAAGAAGGAAAGCTCACTATTGCTAGGGACGGTTTCTAAGGCTTTGAGCAGGCTGCTACTGATGACGTTATACTGTTATTCACAGGTTGGCAGCTTAATTTCACCAAAGACTTCGGTTGTTAGGGGGTCACCACTTTCCACCAGGCTCAGACACACACAAAAACCCTACTCCCAAGGCCCCTCGGCACCAAAAAGCTGACCCAAGACAACTTCCCGGATCTGCTATCTGCCATGGGGGTTTCTCTCTCTGGGACCGGCCACCCACTGCGCCGACCCAACTGGTCCAGACCACAATCCACCTCAAAAGCTCCTCATGGGTCCACCCACCCACAGCGCCAAAAATCTGCTCAGTTTCAGTGGCACTGGAGTCAGGAGAGTGCCTGCTAGTAATCTGTGGTCCCAATATTACTGATAAAGTCAAGCGCAGGCCTCTCAGTGTCACTAAGCTGACCTAAGCCTACTCGGTTGCCAATGCATGGGCACCTCCCCAGGCCCACCCTCCTGAAGCACCAATGGACTCTCTGCTCGGGTTTCAGTGTGCTAGACATGCCTGTTTGCACCTAGCTGACCCAAGTTACCGACAAAATCAGGTGCTGAAGGTAGATCCTTGGGGTGATCACTGGTATGTTGGTGTGGTCACTGGTATGCTGATGTGGTCGCTGGTATGCTGGTGTGGTTTGTCTTCTTCCTTAACCCAGGGAGGTCTCAGATGGGTGTTCTCACCTGCTAGTTAGTGCTCCCTAGGGAAGTCTCTGATGACCTTTCTCGGCTGCCTGTCGGCACTCCGCGGGATAGATCTTCTTATCTTATTATTTTTTCCCTGTCCCTTTCTCCTTTCTAATTCTGCTCTTCTGAGTTTGGTGCACTCTGACTCAGTGAGCTCTTCAGAGGACCAGAATCCCTAATTCAAACTGCCGTACCTAGTTTTTCAAGCAGTAAGATGCTACAGGGAAATAGCGTGGTGATCACTGATGAGACTCCATTTTGAATCCTTTCTTCTACACTTTTAAAGAGATTGAATAGGATTGGTGTCAACTTTCCCTAGAAAATTTTTAATTTTTAACCTTTTATTTTGGTATGAGTGAAGGGATCACTGAAGCCACTGTGGACTCTATAAACTTTATATGTCTATAAAGATAAATAAACACCCACAAAATTTTTCATAGTAATAAGTGGGATAGATTTTACATGAATGAATCATGAATCAGGTTCTCCAGTTCTTGTCTGGTCAAGTTTGCCAATGCCATATAGCCCAATGCTTCATGTCAGCCCTCTTCTAACACAAACTACAGAATATTCAAAATATTCTATTTATTATATAATGTAAGAAATAACCCAAACCACAAGCTATAAAATACATAAAACCTACTTAAAAATGTTAAGTTGTATGACTGTTGCCAACAGAACAAACTTACATGAATTCATTTTTCTGTCCATTCTACTATTTCTTATACATACCCTCTTAACTGTTTCATACACACAATAAGATACCTTGTGCTGCATTCAGTAAAGTGAATTAGGTCTACTTTTCTATGTAGAAACAGATATATAAATTAGTTAATTGAAATACTGATTTAATGTGCTAGAGACTAATAAATGCTAGATAACAAAGATAAATAAGACAGATCTTGATTCTAGGAGCACACAGTAAAAGTAAAAGACAGGTAAGGATGCCTTATCTCTAAAAACAGATACTTTGGAAAATAGTTCTGCTGTATCAACAAGTTTCTGGTCTTGCCTTAAGTAATATAAACACTTTAAGTGATATAAATACAAATATACCTATTTAAAACCTACTGCTATTCAGGGCATACACATTTTTAAATTACAAAAAAAATTAGGGGTCTAACTTACCATCATTTTTTCAAAGAGATCCAGTACTTCCTTTTCTGACAAATTCAAAGATCGTTCATCATATAATGGCTGAGCAGCTGGAAATTCACTCATCGCAACTTGAGAATCAATAGGATGTTGAATAAGAGGTTTTTCTTTTTTGACAGTAGATTTTCTAAAACTTGTAATTCGGTCACGCTGCAAACAGAAAAATATAAATAAATAAAAAGCCCCCCAAAAAGATATTATGAACCACAAACATGAAGAATTGAAACATCAAAATGGCACTTAGTATAATATATATCATTATTGTCTTTTGACAAAATGTTATTTCAAGCAGCAGGCTCCAGTTAGAGATTATACTATTTTGAAACCTTGAAATAGTTCTTCAGCCTTGGAATTGTGTGTGTGGGTGTGTGTAGGGGGAAGAAGTATCCCTCAAAAGTAAAACGTAGTCCCTTGTCATTCATATTGGGCAAAATACATAGGTGGAAAAGTGTTGGATCAAAATCCTGTGGTTGATTAAGGGGAAATGTGCCTTTGGTGGCAACTTTAGAACTATGAGAAACAGAGAAAGAAAATGAAAAGCTTTTGATATTCAAATCTAAGGGGAAATTATGGTAATGTTTCTCTTCTTCAAAGGGGCAAAAACTATGATAAATATCTAGGAATAATTTATCAGTGTAGGAGCTCTGGTAGTGTAGTGCCTAAGGCACTTGACTGCGAACCAGAAGGCTGGCAGTTCAAACCCACCAGCCACTCCTGGAAAAAAAAGTTGGGCAATCTACTTCCGTAATGATACCGCCTTGGAAACCCAAGGAGGGGTCACTATAAATCGAGTCCTACTCAACGGCACATAACAATTTATCAGTGTAGCAGCAGAGTATAGTAGTTAAGAGCATGGACTCTGAAGCCAGAGTACCTGGATTGGAAAGTAGGCTTTGCCATTTACAAGGATTCCTGATGGCACAGTAGTTAAGCATTTGGCTTCTAACTGAACAGTTAGCAGTTTGAACCCACCAGCTGCTCTGTGTGTGCGAGTGAGATGTGGCAGTCTGCATTTCAGAAAATATTACAGACTTGGAAACCCTATAAGGCAGTTGTACTCTGTCCTATAGGGTCTAAGAGTTGGCCTCCGCAGCAACTGTTTTTTGTTTGGTTTGGTTTTTTGCCATTTCATAACAACAACAACAACAACTAGGAGAGTAACCTTCTGCATGTTACTTATCTCTCTACACCTGCAATCTCATCTTTAAAACAGGGGATAATGGTGCTACCTACATCATAGGGTTACTGTGAGGTTTAAATAAAATAATTATACTTAGCATGCTCGGCTGTTTATTACTACTACTAGTGCCTAAGGCACTTGACTGCTAACCAGAAGGCTGGCGGTTCAAACCCACCAGCCACTCCTCGGAAGGAAGGTTGGGCAATCCTACTTCCGTAATGATACTGCCTCGGAAACCCAAGGAGGGGTCGCTATGAGTTGGGCCGACTCGACGGCAAATAACAACAACTACTACTACTACTACTACTACTACTACTACTACTACAACTACTACTACTACTACCACCTACTACTATTTTTCTTTCCCCCCAAGTTTTTCTTCTGTGACGAGAGACCAACAAGGAAGAAAAACAAAAATTAAAAGATCACCTTTTCCATTAACTGGAAATAGAAATATCTTATTCCTATAAATATTATTATGAAGAACTAGCTATTTTATGGATATTGACTTGGAGCCATTGATTCCATGTACAATCTCTAATGATTAGTGTGCTGTTTCATATAAAGAAATAACTTTGTTTGCATATAAACAAGGCATTGTGTTTTAAACCACAAAATAATAGACATAAAAAATTAGTAATGTACATAAAACTGAATGCAACTCAGTTTTATTCTGGTATCTGTTAAGAAGCACATGCATACCTTCAGCTCATGTTAAACAAGCAGATGTGTTAGATATAAGAGCAGTGCATCTTCACTGCCATGGTACCAGAAATCTCATCAATTACTTCAACATTATAAAAAGCAACACAGAAATTATTACCACAGCTTATGAAAAATTACATTGACCCTCATTAAAAGAGTATACTTTGGAGTTTACTGATTCGAAGACAGCATTTTTTAAAATTCAAAGAAATATAAATAGGTTTAAGCAGCTTATTTAGGATTACAAAAACGATTTGAATACATGGTTGTTTACAAAGAGATGATATAAACTATAATGATTTAGACCTGGGAGGAAATCTGAAAAATCATCTAGACCAATTATCTCAATTCAAAGAAAAAGTGACATCGAAAGTCTTGAGTCCCCAGTTTCTAATCTAGTGTTCACATTAAGATTCAATACTTCAAATCATCTTGAACTATTTTTTTCAAACATTGCTTTACCTTTCTGAGAAAAATTAAAGTGGTTTAGAATATCTGTGAACAATTCAAGAGAAAAAATTAAGTAATCCCAAATAAACTGAATATACATCCAACAATCAAATTTCACTGAAAGATATGGTGGACATAAAAGCATTTAAATATGCAATCAACCACAAAATCAACATAGCTATTTCCCTTTCCCTTCCTATCATTTAATGTTTACTTGAGAAAGTACTAGTCATTTTTCTGAGTAGGATTATTTACATATATTTGATATTTCATTGTGTCCTTCATTTCTATCTAGAAAATTGGCTTTTGCCTTCAGCTCTATATCTTAAAAAGAAAACGAAGTTAAGGCACTTCCTTAAGCACTACCAATATTTTAACATTATTTGTGCATAGGTAACTTCACAAATTAAAAATTGACACTGCTTAAAATAACATTTAAATTTTTCTAGCAATAAAATGGCACATTTAAATTTTAAGCCTATAACTTTGAAAAAATTTTTACTGCAATAGCCTTAGCTTGTAAATATTTAAGGTTTTTAAATTTAATAGCACACATTTGATAGGATGGGAACTTAATCCCCTATCTATTTGCAATTAATTTCCTCCAACATTATGTTTAACATATTCACAGTCAATTTATTTGACTATCAATAAAGGACATGTCTATCTTTTCCAGAGGTAGATTTAGGCACAGATTTTTTTTAATTGTTTAGCATATATAACAGGATAATATCAAAATTTAGTTGGAATCTCATAATTGTTTATCTTAATATTCAGAAACAGAGAATTGATGCTAATGACAATTCTTTCATTTTATTGTAGTTTGTAAATATCCAGATATCTTATATCTTACATATATCAATGCTTTAATGTCCACATACTTTAATAAAAAGGCAACATGCATAGGCAATGTAATAACATGCTGCTAAGACCACCTTACCACATCATCTGCCAAAGTTTTTATTTGAATGTTCTATTAAAACCAAAAGGAAACAAAAAAAGAAACACCTGTCAGACAAGAAAAATTATTGATAGCTCAAACAAGAAAATAATTGAATTATTGTAATTTTTTATTTTATCAAATATAAATAGGAGAATTAGCAAGTTTGAATTTAAACACATGCATTCTTTACAAAAAAAAATTTTTAAGGATCAAAAAGTAAAAAAAGATACAGTAAAATCATAAACCCTTTCAAGTTGTTTTCAAAGCTTTGAAATAAATAATCATGTTTTTAAGATACCTTTATTTTTAAAAAAAGACATGAACAATAATAAAAATCACATTTAACAGTATTGAAATATAAATGCTAGGTTTAAGAAGTCAGTGTTACAGGCGATAGTTATTTAAACGACACCTTTTTGAGTATTCTAAATAAACAATGATTCTGTTAATATATGTCTATTTCTCAAAACCTCAACACATTTTTTATGTATGGTTTTCTACTTTTAATATGAAGAATCATTAGAAGTGGTATATTCCAGTTAACGAAATACAGCTGTTAATAAAAACTAACTCATACCATATATAGGTATCACTATTTAACGAAAGAAAGTTGGGAACTCTACTTTCCGTAGTGATATTGCCTCAGAAACCCAAGGAGGGGTCGCCATCAGTCGGGTCCACTCGATGGCACATAACAACAACATTTAACAAATTAGAGTACAGCAAAGCTAAAGTAATACCTAACAATTTAGTAATGTTCCCTGATTCAGAAGATACTTCAAGATATTACAATAATATAACATCAGCATGAAGAGTAGTTATTATTTATATTATAAATGTGTTCAAGTGCCAATTTAGAGATGTAATTAGGGAAGAATTAGATTTTAAAATAGTGGGTACTAGGAACTGAATTTAACCCTTCTGCTACCTTCTATACACTTACTTACTATAACAGAAGCTGAGTAATTCTTTATATTTTTATGCATGCTAAAAAAAATACTAAGAAAAATATGGTGATCTTACTGGTGGGGAGAACTCCGTTATAAATTTTAAGGAAATGAGAATTACTTAGTCTCAAAATCTCAGCAAGTTGTTTTCAAATAGCACCAACCAAATGGTGTTAAAGATCACTGCCGTCTGGATCAGCTGAGGCAAACATATGATTTATTATATGTATAGTTCTTTTTCTACTTTTCATCCATCAATTCCCTCAGTGATCTAAACATCCACATTTTTGTATTATGTCTTCATCATATCCTGCTAACACAAACCCCAATCAATCTTAACTGCCCAGGAAAAAGAATAAAAAGGGGGGATTATTCATATCAGAACTGAAGCCATTTACAGAGAGATCAATTCACCCTAGGGCTCTTTTCTGTCAAGAATTTTCTCTACATTTTCCCAGTACGTTACGGAAGACTGTTTATGCACAGTGACAAGCTTCATGGTTTCCTCTAATGTAAAATCAGAATAAGCAATGGCAAAATATCAAAAGTGCCTCAACTAACCCTACTATTATCCAGAAATATACCTGTCTTGTCCACGTTATGATTTGAGACAGATTATACAGTTTTCCAAGCAATTCCTGTCTTCATTTCTTTATATCCTTTGGGGTTAAAACTCAAGATTGGAAATAAAATTTTACCTCCAAAGCATGAATGTAGATGAGGAAAAAAAATATTATTTGCTTTAGTATAATTCTCTAACTTAACATGCCCATATGTCCGGAATGCTTCAAACCTGTGTTGCAATTGAATCTATGTGGACAGTTCAATCATAGCAGACAGACACAAGAAAAAAGCTGTTACCAATATTTCCAACTTGTCTTATAGGAATAGATGGAGTCTTCTTTTCTTTCTCTCCCCACACCTTTTTTTTTTTTTTGAGAATTATATGCTTCTGGTACAAATTAAATCATATAGTATGGAATCATATACTATTATGAGCTCTGGTAGCGTAATGCCTAAGGCACTTGACTGCTAACCAGAAGGCTGGCGGTTCAAACCCACAAGCCACTCCTCTGAAGGAAGGTTGGGCAATCTACTTCTGTAGTGATCCTGCCTTGGAAACCCAAGGAGGGGTCGCTATGAGTCAGATCTGACTCATGGTAAACAACAACAACATACAAACTATAAAGCTCCTATGGAGTTAAAAAAAAAAAAAAAAGAAGAAGAAAAACTTTCATTAAAGTCACACTCCTGAATTAAAAGCACTGATTAAAGTCACTTTAGTAAGTTTTTATTATGCAAATTTAATGCTAATGGACATTATCATAAGGGCATATTGCACCAATAAGTATGTTGACCATATATTTTCATTAAAATCAACTCTAGAAAAGCAATAAGAGTATGCATTAGTCAAGCAATCAGAGTTTATTAAACTTCATTTATGATCAGCTATATTAAATATAACTTAGTACAGTATTATGTGGGTATTGTGTAATTATAAAAGTATCACTCCAGAGTCTCAACCCCTTAAGAATAAGAGAAATGCTGATTTACTTATAAGCTCTAATGTTGAAGTTCTGATTGCAATGCAAGAATCATTATTGCAAGAAAATTAAGTTTTAATTTTCTCAATCAGGCAGAAATTAACAAAAACAGCGAGATGTAAAGATTCAACTCTCTTATGGCTAATGTTATAAACATTGTTGCAATTACTCTAGTACCACAGAAATTGTACAACAAGAAATTGTACACCACCAACTCAGTATTTTGGGAGGTCTGGTGGTGTAGAACCTAAGGCATTCTGACTGCTAACCAGAAGGTTGGCGGTTCAAACCCACCAGCCACTCTGGAAGAAAGACTGGGCAATCTACTTCCATAAAGATTTATCACCTTGGAAACCCAAAAGCAGCCACTATGAAGAGGAATCGACTCAATGGCAGTGAACTGTTCTTTTTTTTCCCTTGGTTTTTGGTTTTTAATTCAAAATCTTAATTAATCCCACCACTTGACTACTTTCTTCCCTTATAAAAATAAATAAGTTGGCCATAACAATTAAGGCAAAGGGTAAATTAGCTATCCAGTTTCAAGTTTCCTGCTCTCTAAGAAGGGGAAGGACAATATGACACAGAAAACCACGTTCAATTCAGCTGAACAAAATCTACTATGCACCTTTTCAGTGCTGGACACTAGGAATGCAATGGTAAATGAGGTAAGCATGCGCTTTCTTCCTTTATGATGATTACAGCCTGAAGATGAGATGATTCAAACAATGATGACAATATAAAAATTCTGAGAGGAGTGTTATAACCTCTGTCTACTCTCCAGGTTAGAAGAGACCTTGAATAAGGCTATCTGTCCAACCACCAATTCAGGCTTTGAATTCCCTAGACTACATACCTGCCCAATATCTATTCAGATCAGCAGCAGTCACAGAAGGTAGTAGTTACAATTAAAAGTACTGCCTTCCAACTTTTTAGATCCTACCCTCACCCTGAACTTTAAAAACTGACAAGAGCAATCAAGACAATGCAAGGCCATTTACTTATCTGGTTAAAAAAAAAAAAAAAAAAAACTGAACATGCTGTTAAGATACTCAAATATTTTATTATAAAGGTATTTGTTTTTTAGCTGAGTGTCTCTTAATTGAGTTTTTAATCAAAAAAGCTATACGTAATCTGATTATCAGAACTTACATCAATATAGAGGTTTGATTCCAAGATGACAGGGGAAAACCAAATTTTGGCTTTCCAAATCAAACTGTTTGCTGCTTGTATTTAAAAATACTCTGAAACATTCTTTCTCCTCCTAACAGTATGGATCATTTTTAATATCATGTCATAATCTTAGGCACTGTAGTCTTCTATCACCATTAGCACTTATGGATAGATGATAGATCATTTGGTAGTGTGGTAGGCACTGGAGATTTAAAGATACACAGCTCTACCCCAGAAGGGCAAAACCAGGGTTGAAAAGAATTTACAGATACTAAGCTCCAATTCTCCATCTTATTTTGCTATTGTTACCATCTGAAACTGTTCATCATTTTAATAGAGTGAATACGTCTATATTTTTGTAACCATAAGGACATCATTTCAAAAGTACTGTTAAATCAATACCCCCAAATTTTAATGCACAAGGGTTCTTTGTTATTACAAATAAAAATCCATCCTTCTTATGACAAGAAAAATGCTGTTTTGAGATTTTCTTTCCAAGATGCTATTTCAATTGATAAAGAACAAAAAGTTTATTTACAAAACAAAATGATCTAATTCAAGTTCTAGTGACACTCAAATATGCCATCATATTATAAAGCTTTGGTTTGCTTCATGAAGCAAAAGGCCATGTTCATTCAATGATTAAGTTTTATACATCTGACATAACAGGATATGTTCAATCATAAATTGACTGCCTTGCCACAAACTTTAATCTGTAACTACTAAGTGAGGTGATTATGGGGTGGGAATCCAGTCATTGCTTCCGTATAAGAAGTATGATCAGTTTCAAGGCTAAGGGTTCAACTGAAACGTTCAGAAATCTGTTTGTCACTTAGGTCTTTAAAAAGTTCTCACTAAAGAACTGGAGGACATTACTAATGCACCTAAATTAATCAACTACATTTGCAGGAATAAGCTAGCTTTCTAATAGTAATAACTTCTTCTCCAAGTACAGCAGAATGTCTGTTTGCTTTGTAGCAAACAATTTTAAAATGGAAAAATTGTTTGGACACGAAAGGTCCATTAGTTTTACATAAATACAGACATTTCAAAACCTAGCCTAGTATTTTGTACATAATGGATACCCCTAGATCAGTGACTTAACCAAGTGGGGCTCAATATGTAATAAGCGAATTTACCTCCTCTCTGTTTTAAAAAAGATAAATGAATCACTCAAAGATTAATCAAGTACCCATTATATGCACAGTAATTTATGGCACCCAGAAGTTTAGGATATGATTCTGCCGTGAAGGAATTTACAATCTAACTAGGGAGTAAAAAGTAAGCACATAAAACAAGTAGATAATTAAATGCTAAACTGTAAGATTTTGAGGTAAGTAACTGTCTTCCTCCCTAAGCATTATCACAT